ACCCTCACAGGGAAGAGCTTCTGCCCAAGAGCTCATCTCAGTCTCCCCTCTGGCAGCTTAAAGCCATTCCCCTTGTCCTGTCCCTCATCCCTTGTCCAACGTCCCTCTCCAGGCTTCCTGGAGCCCCTTTAGGCCCTGGAGCTGCTCTAAGTTCCTCCTGCAGCTCCTCTTCTCCAGGCTGGGTTCTTCCACCAACTTCAGAGGGTTTGGTGAAGGAACGTGCGCGTCCCACCACGTCCTCCCCTGAGGCAGCTCCAGCCACCACAGCACCCCCAAGCTCCAGAGCAAGCAACCACCACAGTGGTGGCATCAGGAGGCTCCCAGCGCCCGCGGCCGGGGGCCGCAGTGTGTGTGTCAAGGTGGTAGTTGAAATGAGGAGATACACACCGGTTGCAATCGGGCGCAATCCCTTCTTCACTACAACGGTTCTACAAGGACACTTCCTCAGCCACACACAGGTACTTCTTGGAAAACCTACAAGTTCAAGAGAAAGGACTTGCCCATAGTATAAAGTGTGTAAACCATCACTTTTAGTTCCTGACACTTCCCAAGCAACGACCTACCCCACGAGACTTAAACCAAGGAGAGGAAGGCAGCGAGATGAAGGCACCGAGCGACCAGGAGGCGCCTTTCAGGCTTAATCCACCACGGTGGAGCCTGTTGCTACAAGATCTTAGTGGGAAAGCACCAGCTGAGCTCCAGGACCTGCCCTGGCGTGAGGGGTGTGTTGGTCTGTGGGTGCAGCCACCGCCTGAGCCCCACCAGAGCATCCCCTGCTCCAGCAGCTCCCCCTGATCCACGAAAGGGAATAGTGGGGAGAAGGTGGATGATGTGGCAGGAGGGTTGAGCCACGAGAAGTGGGGACAGGCCTGTTCTGCTGCCCCCCAGCTCTGCTTTCGGGAAGCTGAGGACACCACCAGCCACTTGTGGTCCCAGATGTGCTCCATTGGAGAAGAACCACCTTTCAGCCCCGGATCCTCCCTGCCACAGGGAACAGGAGAGGACACCGCGGCCCCGAGGGGGGCACAGGAAGAGGGGAGCTGGAGCTGAACACATGAAGGAAGGTGGGACCCACGGGCACCACCACGTCCCACCAGCACCAAGCGGGGGGGTTGATGATGTTCTGGTCTCTGCACTATGTCCCCAAGAAAGCAGCAGCAGGAGGGTCAAGGGGAGCAGGGAGGATCCATCAGCTGAGCCAGAACCTCACCTTTTGGCTGTGCCCCCCCGGATCCAGCCGGAGCCACGGCACAGAGATGCTCCAGAGGTGCTCAGAGGCACCTCAGCCTGACAAGGAAGCTGCAGGACACTGAGCTCCTGCCCGAGCACCGGGGAGCAGTAACTGGGGGCGGCAGCTCCTTCACCACCAGCTGCTGAGCGGCCCCAGCCCCTTCCTAAAGCCTCAGGCAGAGGGAGAAAAGAGAAGTCTCTGCCCG